GACAAGCTTAGTGCCAACGCTTCAACAGTAATAGGGGACAGGTAGATTGGGATACAGAACAAAGTGATGAAGTCGACTAATCAGGCATCATCATACAGCGAGATACAGTGAAGCGAACTACGCTGATCACTGCCAAGCTCATAATGTACACAAATCAAGTGGTAAAGCACAAGATGGAGAGGGATTGGGCCTAATTGGAGAGAGGCAAAGAAAAGGAACCTCTATGGTCAACACACGGAGTACACAATCGAACTGTACATACATACCGTTTCAAGCATTCTGACCTGATAAGAAACGACAACAAGAACGCCACCGCTGCCGGTTCGCAGCCATATCCTTGAATGTCTCCAATCAGCCAGTCGTGGAGTCTTTTGGACCCCTCACCTGGAAGACAGGAGACACCGATTCTATCTGATCGCTCTGTGCATTTCTTCATGCCTTGTTTTCACGTCATCTGTTGACTTCCACGCGATTTCTTCCAACCTGGAGCCGCAGCTGCGAATAAGGCGCGGTGCGGTAGATGATGAATGGGCATACGCAATACATGTCCTAACCAGCGAATCCGAATAATCTGAATTCGGTGAGACAACGAATTTTCCTTCGAATCATTACCAGATACGCGACGCCTTACCTTTGAGTTGCTTGCACGCTCGCTCTATCCAACCCGCGCCAAACTACGTAAACATCGACAGTCGAATACTTCTAGACGACGAATATCTTCCACGCGCAAACTCAAGGTCTCGCAGCCATGTCTCAGAAATGACAGCACATTGGCGCAGTATACACGACCTTTCAGTTTGTACGAAATACTGCGTCTGCACCAAACGTGCTTCAGTCCTGCGTAAGCTGCTCGAGCCTTAGAAATGCGGGCGGTTGCTCAATTGACTATGCTACCGTCATTTATAACGCAGCTACCTAGGTAGGTGAAACATTCCACCACAGCTAATTCTTGACCATCAAGCATCAGTGCTGGGTAAGACGACAACCAGTCTTGTAGCATCACTTTGCACTTTGAAGGTGCAAAGCGTGTACCGAAAGAAGGTACAAAACTTGCTAATCTGTCAAGAGAGCTTTGCGCACTCTCCTTACATTCTAATAGGCAATTGATATCGTCAGCGTACTCCAAACTGCATGGCTTTTCTTCATCTGCCCATTTAGTACGCACGTTTTAAAGACCACTAAATACGTTCTCCAGTATTTCGTCTACGACGAAATTAAACAGGAATAGCGCCCTTGACAAATACCGCTCCTAGTTTTGAACGATTTACTCGCTGCTTCGCAAAGAAATGCCTATTGCGGTCACTGCATCTGCATACTTCTGGTAACCTAAGAGTCTACAGGGTCTTCACGGTCAGCTGAGTCGAAGGCTCTTTTTAGTTTAAGAAACACTGCGATAGTTGGCCGACGATGTATGTGGCGCAATTTGAGGGCTTGACGCAAAGTGAAAATTTGGTCTATGCAACCGCGATCTGGTCGGAATCCGGCTTGCTTTTCGCGGATATTCATCAGGCGGCGAAGTATCACAGAAGTCAACATTTGTGAGTATTAGAACCAAACTAATCCCGCGGTGGTTTGCGCAGTCGTTTCGTGATCGAGCTCTGTGGAAGGTAGACAAAAATTAAGCCAGTTAACCACATTTGATGTTGTTGCCAGCCTGTTCCATATGTGCGTGTGGAGGCATAGGGCTCTTAATCGTTTGCACAGCGAGCTGTTATACTAATCGGTTTCTCATTCTTTATTAGTAAAATGACTTGAGGAACGTGACTGAGAAAATTCAGTAGTTACAACCACCGTGTGATAGAGACTGCTTCAGTGACAATCACCTACTTTCGGTAGTTTGGAACCTGTTAGTCCTCCTGGTTACCATTGTTTTATAGTCCGGATTTTTTAACTCTGTAAGCGAACTAGCTTCTGAGGGCTCGTGAGCCAGGACAGCCAAGGAAATAGGTTTCTTGTGCTCTCATTTCGGTCGTAATATCGGCATTGTGTTGAACTTTCCTGGCACAGGCTATGAAAGGAGTTCGTTACCCTACGCTTTGCCAGAAGCACGCATCCTCAACCTCACCGGGACATTTTGGGGTACGCTGCACGTGGCATGAGTGATAAAACTCGTTGAATTATATGGTTCACTGTGTGAACCCTCTGTGATTCGTTTCACGTTTCTGATTTCAATTGCTGCAATTCGTGCACCACATAAACACACCCTTCCTTGCCCATTTTACCTCGTTTAGATCCGCGGTCAGCGATGCCATTTCATCCGGGGGCGCCGTCGCGTCAACAAAAGATCTAATCGCTGCATCGAGTGATCTGTCTGAGGATAAACTGAAGCTTTTGGATGAGCTGTTTGAGTCTTCTCGCGGCAGCGCCATGATCCCCCTTGGTCAAGACCGATTTTGTCGGTGAGCTAAACTATCGTTTTTTTATTTGTTGTTTGGGACAGACAATGTTTTTGTAGTGGAAGATGTTAGTCTTTGCAACTTTTGAGAAAACCGTACGTAACTGTTGACTGAATTTTCTTTGATTAAGTATTATCTTTGGAATATGGACACCGAAACGTCCTGTATACCACGTGTGAACACACGGTTAGATCACATGAAACACTTGATACAAGTTAAGTTCAATCAGATTTGCTTGGACGTGTGAATTAACGTCCTCTGGTCTTCACTGCTTTCATCTTTTCCATTTGATGTCTAGACGATATTGGCTACTTTTGTCGATACCATGCGTGCTCGTCGAGTACGACCCGCCCTCCGCTGAACATCCACTCGCAGTCAGCCCAATTCTACTTAGTCGACAAATATCTGCTTTTCATCCGCAAGCGGCTGAATCTCTGGCCATTTCCTCCACAACATTGGCAGCCCTCCGGCTACGCGAGTTCGTCACACAACATCCAAACATGCCTCGAGAAGCTATCACTCAGCATATAAGCGTTCGCCTTCCCACAGAACCCACTCACCGCGTACTGACTATGGAGCAGTTAAGGATGCTTGTTTATCCGGTACGTGTCTGATTGGTCTTACTAATTTTATATGATAACCGTTGATTGCTTACATACGGAAGTTTAGCACGGAGGGAAGATTGCTTTCAGTGTTCATACATTAAAATCTTAATTTTCCCCATTATGGATACATCTAAACCAAGGACCAGTTATTAAACCGTTCTTGCATTTTACGACCGAACTTACGTTAGCGGTTGGATCACAAGAATCTGAATGCTTACACGAGCGGCTTTTAAACGCATGCTTGGTTGGGCATGGGAACGTTTGCTGTTTACCTACACTGTGGTTAGGATTTGCAGTTGCTTATATTTAGTGTAGCTTGCTTGGCCCGGATTGTTCCATTTCCGTAAAAACGGTGGACCAGCTGGGTCACATTAACCGCATGATGTTATCTATAAAATGCACGTCCTTTGCATTTGTAATCGAATTAGTTGTTTCACATCTCACGCATATTGTGTGGTGTTCATGGACGCGATCCAGTTTGTGTCGATATTCTTTGTTCCACAGTAACGGCTGAAAGAATCTGGCTTTTAGTCATAGTTATTGTTTTGGGATGAGTTTGGATCAAGCGTTCATCGTTCTGAAATGCAGGAGTGTGAATGCTGCAATGGGAAATTATTGTTAGATGGAAATACATAATATAGACGGACAGTTATTACAAGAAATATGTACGCATGTACCGGTACATTGATGGACTGATATAGATTAAGTTTGAAATGCGGTTGAGCGGACTGTTGTTGCTGATGCTTGACAGCCTTCCATGGATAATTGCTCCGAAGTTTTCGTCTTCAAACAGCCAACAGGTGTGTACACGCGTTTTTTCAGCTTCAATCATTTAAGGGCACACCTCACATCCATGTGTCACAGAATCGGCTAGGCGTTCAGCGTATGTGTTTTTCTTAGATTACCCATTTGGAAAAGTCCCTTCCCTAGCTGGATCATTCCGATCTTATGTTTATTTTTCTTGTCATCTTCTCCAAATAGGAACGTATCACTGAACGGGACCTGCAAACTCAGACAAAGAGTGCAGCTGTAACCCAGACACATCGTTTACGCAAGGAATATCAAAGTTCTCCCGGTGTTCCTACTTGGTCTATTTTAACCCCATTCGCCGGCCCCATTCCATCAGCTACCACGCTCAAGTCCACTAACAATAATTTGTCCTGTACCATGAACGAGAACACAGACAACAAAGAAGTATCTTCAGAAATAGAAACTACGGTAGAGGAACGCGCCACTTGGACTATTGATTGTTTAGAGGCCGCACTCAATCCCCGTGGTGTGAGGGAATCACGATTGAGACGTGTTGTTAGCGATCTTCGTGCGCTGCTTATTCGTGTTGTTTCTCAATGCCCCCCAGACTTGGCCGGCGCCTCTCAGGTCAGTGTTTTTTATCCTTTCGTCTGTGGATGCCTTCTCTGACATGTACTTTGATGAAACAGTTTGGATCTTGTCGGCAAATCGCTGCTGATCGTGCCAGCCCAGTAAAAATAGGAAGCATTACATATTCTCTTCCACTCACTACTTCTTGCCACCCTCTGAGATATATTGCAAATGGGTTTTAAGAATGTAATAGGAAGATGTAGTATGCATTTCCCACAGCTTCATCACGAAGTTCTACTAACCTTGAATTCTTGCTCTCCAAGGCTTCCACTAATGCTAGTTGACGTTGTACGACTTCCGATCTAACGTGGTACTCGGTATATAACTTCCAAATTGTCATTGCCGACCTGATACCCTGTTTCTTTGTGTTTAGCTACTTCTACGCTCCTAGCTTTTTCATGTAACTCGTACCAAACCAGACTGAATGTTTCTTTTCATTGATTCTTTGCGAAAAATATCTCGTCTAACCTACGCAACTCAGTGAATTCAATGTATGAGTAACCATGAATGAGATGGGGATGTATAGTGTGTGTTTAAGATTCGTGTATATTATTGGCTTTTCTGTGAAAGTTGCCCCGGGAGTAGCAGCTGGCAATCACCTCTAGTGGTCGTTTTAATTTCGTCTTTGAAAGGCGATCATAGGAATAAATTGTCTTGCCGTCATTGTTTCTTGTGGAGGTAGTCTTTCTGTGATATTTTTCTCATCGAACTGCTCTGAGTATTTTTATGTTTTACTGTGTTTGCTTGATTTTTTTCAATTTCATTCTTGTTGGGCCGGATTCGGGCGCTATTGTTGCCAGACATCCGACAAAATCCCTTACATTGTCACCGCTTAAAACATTCCAATCTCCACTCTACTCATTCATCCAATTGGGTGGTTAAAGAAGGCAGCCAAAACTACCGCACGATAGTGCGTGGGTAGTGGTTGTTTAAACTGAAACTGAAACTTATTTGAGAGAAGATGACATGGACTTCTCTTTATGGTATTCATCATCTCCAATAAACTATGGCCTTCTTTCAAGGTCTAACGTTTTCGTCGGCTCTGGAGAATAGCTAAACTTCCAGGCCGCTAATGTTTGTAACCAAGGTAGCATGAACTTTTAAAATTGTTTCTTGGCAGTGTTAGCTTAAGATGTTTGCACTCAGTTTTGGTATAATCTCGTGTTTTTACGAAAACCGTTTATACATTATGTTTTTGGGGATTTACACTAATTCCGCAAGTCATCGCACAGCACAACTTTCCGTCTTTTTAGGTTCAAACTGAGACGAAATGCGATCAACTGGTATCGGAACCATTCAAAGGATTTTGGTCCAAGCAAGTAACTTCAGACGGCAGCCGCCGGACTGACGATACTTTATTGAATTGGTTGGAAATTTCATTGCGACGCATGGCAACCAGGCTGGGTTTGCGTCAATTNCGACCACCGCCACCGACAGTGAAACATTGAATATAAAGACAGAGGATAGCTCTTCTGTTCTCGTAACTGAAAGCTGGTATGTGTTTGGTGCAATGGTGCCAGCGTTATCGGGTATTGCGTCACCGTTATATTATGTCGAGCATTGCAAAATGACAGTATTGTTAATTTCCTGGCACTTTTTCACTTCCGGTTTTCGCTAGAGCATAATATTTTCAGTAATAATTCAGTAGTCTTCCTAAACAATACAGTCCAACATCTCATGCCCCCAATCAGAATAATACAATGATACAATCCGATCCTAGTGAGGCCTTGTGTAGTTTGCCACTTCTAGTCCCGGTGCTTAGGGTTGCCGGTTTCCATCACAGGATAGCAGGTGTTCGGGTCTGTGACGTTCTCCCCGTTCATTACACTAAGTTAGCTGATAAAAATAGCATGATGCCAGCGCAACAACAGCGAAAAAGCGTACACAGTACATCTGATTTCAGGCAGATAGACAGACCGTATTGGAAAATATGTTGCCATCCGGAAATCGAGTGAACAGACTTTGTCCGGTTGGGATGCCTAATGGTTATGCTTAGTTTTCGTCTGATGCGCTCCCAATGTGTGGAGATCGACAGGTAACATGGACGTGATACACGAGTAAGTGGACGAAATGATTAGCTAAAATAGGTGCCTGTCGTTCCAGGGCGCACTGCGCTGTACTGATTGGAAGAACTTGAGAGTATGGCAGCGAACCGATAACAGTAGTGTTCTAACCATTTCTTATCAGGTCAGAACTCTTGATACGGTGTAAATGATCAGTCACATTGTTTACTCTGTTTTGACCGTAGAGATTCATGTTATTTTTTGTTCCGTACTCCGTACCCATCAGAGTTGATCTGTTGCTCATCTCTTTATCGGTAGCATATTTATACGGCCTTGTCACACTCACTGACTTACCGTAGTAAGTTGTGACCATCAGAGGGAGTGCCCTAGAGAGTGAAGATAATGAATCATAATCAACCGTAACTACTACTTGATCTCATTGTGTGCGTTTTTCACAGCGTTATGTAGAATCAACTTAGGTCTCAGTGCTCAGATTTTATTAGGCTCATGTGGTCATGAATTTATTTCCTAATATCAACCACACCTGACCTTCTGCATTTGATTATTCATTACGTCAGTTCATTTGCACACACCGACAGTCCGTGTGCTCCTCTTCCATCGAGTTCGTTGGAGTGCAAGTCGAATTGCCCGGAGGAAGCGAATCATTTTCCTGCTCCACCGGGGTCCTTATCGCGACTACAACAATTGGCTCACACTTTGCTGCTTTTCGGTGAGGCGATTGGACCCAAAGCTTTGTTTGGACCATTAGGTGAGCTATCCTGATTCCTCGTCACATAGTAAATATTTCGTTGCGCGGTTCTGTTTGACACATTGACATTTTCTGCTGCGTAATTCATGAAAATGTTTTCCACAATGCTCATTTATTTCCCTCTAGGTAACGATGCACGAACAACGCGAGTAGTGCCAGCTTCCGATCCGAGTGTTTCATCCAATTCGCTCGTTGTTCCTCATATCGCCTCCGCGCGCCTCACGCTTGATCAGTCTCAATCTGATAACCTTTCGGTGGCCACATCCGGTTCCTCTTCGTGTTACATAACCACTGGCTGGGAACGTTGGCGTGCATCTGTGATTCGTGCAAAATCCGCTTCTCAGTTGCATTTGTTGGCCCGTTCACTGGAACGCGGGCTGCGTCGAATGCTTTTGTTCGGCAATCCGCTCCGATTAAACACTCCTGATTTTGACCAAGGTGGTTATCGAGCCCCAAAACTGCGGTGCACCGCATGCAAGTGCGTTTCTATATTTATGGTCGTATAGGTGCACCAATCATTTGCTGATGTCTGTTTCCACACTTCGTACTTTTTATCTGCTGTTCAATTTTCTGTGCAGGTTATCAGATATTGTTTTCTTCCGCATGCATGAGTCTAAAATTTCAGTCATCTGTGTACTGTCACTTGCTGGTGTTGCCATGTTCGGTATGCGTTTTGCACCTTCAAAGTGTAAAATGCTACTACAAGATTGGGTTGATCCAGCGCCCAGTCTCACCCTAACTGGGGAAGTAGTAGAGGAAGTAGACAAATTTTGCTATCTAAGCAGCTATATCTCACCCGGCGGACGCATCACGGATGAAGTGTCGGCGCGCATACAGAAGGCTCGGTTGGCATTTGCCAACTTGAAACATCTGTGGCGCCGTCGCGACATCCGGCTGTCTGTGAAGGGTCGAGTGTATGCTGCAGCAGTTCGGTCAGTCCTGCTCTACGGTGCAGAGACTTGGCCACTAAAATAGATTGTCGGTGTTTGAACACCGCTGTCTACGTCGCATTGCATGAGTCTGGTGGGGACATCGGACTAGCAATGCTGAGGTTAGGCCTAGAGTTTTAGGCATTTGCGGTCGTCCACTAGAGCAAGTGATCGACCTTCATTGATTATGCTGGTTGGGACATGTGTTACGTATGTCGCCACGGCGAACGATGTTTGCCAAGGCTGGTAGCGATTGGAATAAGATAAAGGGTGGTCAAACTAAGACCTGGCATGAGGGTATGAAAACCCTAACCAGGAGACTAGGTCACATAGGCCCCGTTTAGCTCCCTGGCTGGGGACCTCGGGATGATCGTAACCGATGGTTAGCTACACTGAGTGATATGGCTGGGTGTCGCAAACAGTGATGCTCGTGCATCCACTCGTTATTTTCCTAACACCACTCTATATGTATTCCCCATCTTCCGCTTGAATTTGCTTCGACCTTCCAATCTTCATTTCGCTCTTTTATCCAAATGGGCAACCAAAACCGGCGCACGAAAGTGCATGGTTTATGGTTGTAAAAACTGAAACGGTCACTTGCCTGGTGATGGAATTGCGAATAATATCGACTGTAGCAGCAGCATAATCGCGTTGCATTTTACGAACGTGCCATCCAAGTCTACTAATCATACGATCACTACTGAACAATTTTATTTCTTTTCAATAGACGAGAAACTGCAATCCATAAATGATTATGCCAATCCGTGGGTTTAGTGCATTATTATATTTCGCATATGCCTGAGTCCATACGGTGCTGGACAAATCAAGGTGCAATCATTTTGATAACAAGCAAATTGGTTCGTTTTTCGTTCTAAGCCGGAGTACTCCCAGCTTTCCCAAGCCAAATCAGACTCACCGATCCGGTTGCAGCTCCAAATGTTTGCTTTTCATCCTCTCACTTGGGAGAGAAAAACCGCCACTCGATCGCAGAGCTTCCCCCCACTGAGGCTGTTCGTGACCCTTGATTGCATAGGCCATTTCTTCAGATGCAAGGGAAAGAACACCCATCACAGACCCCACTGAGACCCCGGAGCCATGAGATTATTTGGTAATGGTTGACTTCATACCTATATGGGTTTGTTCACCAACGGACACTGGGAAATCCCCGTTTCACCTCATTTATAGGGTCGCGTACTCATACAGACAGTTTCCCCTCTGCTCCTTATTTGAGATTGGGTCTCCGCGCATTTGGGACTCAATCTGGACTTCCAAATTTAAACGTCTCTGTGCCCACACGAACGGAATTACCGCAGTGATAGTATGCAGGTAGGTAAGATAGACCGCTGTTGTTCGAGTATCGCTGTCTGCGCAGCATGGCACGAATCTGGTGGGTTAGCCGAACAATCAATGTTGGGGTTAAATGCTGAGTCTTAGGTAACTGAGGTCGTCCACTGGAACAAATAGTCGATCTCCGTAGATTATGTTGGTTGGGGCATGTGTTACACATGTCGCCAAATAGGTTATCATGGCGATTGATTTTTGCCGAGGCAGTTAGTGGATGGAATAAAGCCAAAGGTCGTCAAACTACAACCTGACATGAGAGTATAAAAACCCTAACTAAGAGACTCTTTCCTATAGGTCCCATTAGGCTCCATTTTCTGTTTGACTCGACTTTCAACTTTCCTGTCTTTCTCCTGCGGTTCAATCAAATTGGCTGCTAAAAGACGGTAACCGAAACCGGCGCACAAAAGTGCATGATTAATGGTTGTGTAAAATGAACTGAAATATTTAGTTTTCGTGCTAGTTGTTTTCAGTATAATGTACGGGTATCCTTTTGTTGGCAGGCAGACAGACAGACTATTTAAGAACATCTAACGGGCAGTTTGTGTTATCCTTTATACTATTATGGTAATAGTGATGATCAGGCGATCTTAGTCGCCCATGCCTCAGATACGTCCCGGTCCCTCAGATCTGGCTTCTAGACCCTCTCACTGAAATTTGTCGGCGAAAAGTTTTACTGCCACTTAACTTTTTATACCATCTGTTTTTGAGACCTTTTATAACTCTCCTCCGCGATCTCTGTGAGTTTCCATTGCCGTAGATGTACTTTCTCGGGTTTGATAACTAATTTTATTCATCACCAGAATTAGTATCCGTCATCTCGTCGTTTCTTTCTGAACGTACCCTTGTGCTTGTTACTCGTATTTGTTTTCGAGTACACAGCATCCTGTTACTGCTATGATAACTGAAGTTGATACTAAAAGTTTTTTGAACTAGAGTTTTGCGTTTTCGGTCATCATTGCCCTCCATTATTTTTGTCTAGTTAATTCTCAAATATATTAGCTAATTACTAGTTACTCCCCTTGTACCGAATACGAGAACGTCGGGTGACCTGCAGGTCATTGATTTATCAACTGATGAGAGCCATGTTGCTTCCCTGATCGTCCATAGCTTGCGAGTTGAACATGTACTTGAGATTCTCTAGTGTACGCAGACGTCACATTCAGTGAATGAATAATTCCGATATTTCATAGCTGTTCTTCATTCTCGGAGCAGACAGCTGGCCGTCCACTTTCAGCTATTTTGAAGGTTGTGTTTACCGGACCGGCACC